CCAACCAAACCATTCTATGATTATTTTTTGGGGTGGGGAGGGGGAAAGCCCAGACATTTTAAGTGTGTGGCATAAGTTTGGTTTCCTAGGCTTTGATGACTTCAGACTTTCACTTCTTCTTTTGCAGCTACCCCATCTCGACCGCTTTATGGCTACTCACCTAAATAGACCTACTTATAACTTTTCTGCAGATTTTTTTGCTGATTTCTCTTTGCATCATCTTGATCTGTTTTTTTTTAATTTTATGCTACCTAGTGAGAAAGTAAAACATGCTCCCAAATTCAGTTGCGGTCTATCCTATCTAGTTGTTGATTTAAAAAAAAAATATACCATAAGCAGCATGCCTTTTCAAAAGTTGTGATCTGTTTTAATTCTGCCTAATTTTGTTTTACCTGTATTTTTTGCCTTTGGTTCTTAGTTACGTTTTTTAAATGCAGACCATTCCTGGGCATGTAAAGTTAAATCCTTTACCCAGTTCATGTAGTCAGTGCATGGTCTTCAGAGGCTTAAGTCTGCATCATGCCAAGGGGAGAGGGTTCCCAAGTTACAGCGTGTTTAAGACCCCATAGGCAATGTGTTACAGGACTGACCTGACTCGAGACAGCGTGAACAACGAAAGGGATGGCACTTTGCCTTTCTTAGGAAAGTGCTGGTGGCACAGGAGTCGCTGCTACCCAGGCTTTGCATTCCTGTTGTTGGTACCCAGGTGTTAGATTGTGCATGCATAACTCGGCCTAAGTTGAAGAAGTTGACATGCGTTGGCTACCAGTTAGTTTTCAATAATTTAGTACTTCCTTAAAATTAATCAAGCGTGTAGCCTCTTCTTGAAGGTCATTTCTCAAGAACAGACATGAGTGCTGCTGGGTGTTAAGCTCTCGACATGATTCATGCAAATACCTTTTTAAAATAAAAATTTGAGAAGCACACATACACCCTTCCACTTTCTATAACATTACTTTTGCTTTGCCAACTGAAACATGGCATGAATGTTGAGAAGCAACCCAAAAGCAAGCAGATGAGAGAAATCTGTAGTTAATGCTTTAATTTCAGTGGTCATTTCTTTATAATCTGAAGGTACATACTGAGTTGTTTTATTTGTTACTGGTTTTCACTAGATAGTAAATATTTAGAATTTCAAAGGCTAGGTGTTTGTGGTTGTTTTCCATAGCTATCTAATTTCAGTCTGTAAACGTTACTTTGGTGTTTCTGCACGCCTCTCCTGGTTTTCAAATGTGTAAGTATATGGGTATAAAGGACAGCTTCTGTAGCTGTGCTCGCTGATCTATAGAATGGACCTATCTGTGATCGCATTGCTTCCGTAAACATGCAACTGTCTGAAGCCGTTCAATCCTTGGAGTCAACTTTTTTAGTTACGTTTTGGTTTTTTTTGACAAAAATCTGCAGGGCAGAGCTTGTGTTGACATGAAAGTGTCGCTTTGCGCATGGTTTTGCAAATCGCAGGTCTGCTCTGGAGGGAATGCAGCATGGTTAAGGCTGACAGCAGTGTCGCTATTTCTCTTCTGTCCTTAGGTCCTTTCTCACAACTTGTGCACAGTGTTAAATGTTCCCCATGATCCAGTGGCCTTGGAAGAGCACTTCAGGGATGATGATGAAGGACCAGTTTCCAATCAGGGTTACATGCCTTATCTAAACAAATTCATCTTGGAAAAGGTAAGCTTTGAATTCTTGTGTTCTGCTTTTCCTTTTATGAGGTTTTGTATTAGAGTGTCTTTACAGTAGACTGCTGCTTGCAGGAAGCATGCTGGTGTGAAGACACTGGTTCTGTGTGCCTATGTGGGGTCGTGATGGGGCAGGTACTCTGGAGAGCCTGTGCCTTAAAATGGAGGGGTGCACTATTCTCTACTTCTTTTTACTCTTGGTGGTTTCTATTTCCTGTTACATCTGGTCATTGTCTAAGCTGTGTTCATGCAGAACCGTGTTCATATTAACAAAGCACCTCAGCTTGAATTTATTTGAAAGTGTCTTGGAGCTATAGATTGTCCTACTTTATCTTACGGCTGTAACAAAATATTGTCATAGACTCCTTTGCAAACAGGAAGGCTAAAAAAATCTTTAATGTCTGTTCACAAGGTATTCTAATAAATAGATCCCTTCGAATAGTTACAGTGGGTGACATTAGGGAGCATTGTTAAGCTTCATCTTGCAAGTTCTTTCATGTCTGAGCATTCTGCAGTCTTCTGTTGAGCCTTGAAGCTCTGGAAAGCCTGTCTGGAAAGCTCCTGTCCATCTTGTTCTAAGATAGGTAGTCACTGGGTTTGAAAGCAAAAAAAAAACCCAACACCAAAACCCAGCTATCATTCTGCTTTTTTTCTGGGAACTTGTGTTGAGATACTGGTCTAGACAGTAAAAACCAGCCCATGTGATGAAGCTGATATGTTTGCACTCATACCACTAATTTCTCATACACCTGGAGGCCGACCCCAGGAACCCTCAAACTTTGTTGTGGCTGCAGAGATACATAGATGTTTGCTTTCTTTTGTAATGTTAAAAAGTCCTGAACTGACATGCTGCTGAAAAGTCCAATGCAGCAATTGCAGATTATGCAAACTCCTTAGCCTAATTTGCTGATTTTTGCTGCTTCTTTAATCTATGTATAATACTGGTGGAAAATGTCATATATATAATGCAGTTTGGCGTCTTGGAAGAGGTAGAGATTCTTGTATCTAGTGAAGACTTATCAGCTCCTCTGCCTCACTCTGTGTTTCTCTCATACCTAGTACTAGTGTCCTGTTTCATATGTGGGAGTTGTTGGCTGTTAATACATATAAAGGTACCCGCTTAATGTCTTGGTTGTTTGATGATGAAGACTCTTGCTTCATCCCCAAGAAGTTTGTGATCTCATTTCCACTTCATGTTGTCTGTCTGAGCTCCTGTAAGATTCAATGGAGACCAAGCAGTTTGTATACAAATTTGGGGGAAAAAGAAAAGGCCTTACTTTATTTTGACCAAAGGATTACAGTAGTAGAATCTGAACCACAGTGGGTTTTAGTACTGTTTGTAGGCAGTAGCAAGCCATTAAATAAAAAAAAAGAGATGAAAGGCTTTTTCAAATATAAAAGTGCTTTATTATTAAAGGGGGTTTATAGGAAGAATAGTTATGGGAAAGAGAAGCGATTGCATTTAAACAACAGTTTAGTTTGAAAATGAAAGACTTGGCTATGTAAGCAAGTTGGTGTGAATTTACAGTGTTTGGCTACTCTGGGGCACCTTCTTGCCCCATAGGAAAAATGAAGGACAAGGTTTTTCATGTAGTTTCTTGTGTTGTTTTATTCATACGTCGATCTGGCCTCCAATAATTGCTTGATATACACATACCATTAGTTCATCTTAAAAGATGAAAATGTTAAGGAGCAGGATTAAATTACCTGTAACCATGTTATTTAATCCTGACTAAATGCTTGTAAACAGTTTAGATATGTACTATTAAAAATTAGTGAAATTCTTTAGACAGAAGGGTATTTTTGTGGACTGGAAAAATCTTGATTATGACATCTCGTCTTTTAGAGAGGACTTTACATCAGTGCCAAAAGACAACATGCAGTGGGATGAAGTCACTGGTTCATAGCATGTCTCCTTTGTTTAAAACAAACAAGCAAAAAAAAGAGCAAACAAGAAACCCCTTCTTTTTTCATTCTTCCAAGGCGTAATCTGTTCTTTTAGATGGGGTGATTGTAGAACAAATGCTATTGATTTATGTTCGTAAGCAAAGCTATTAAAGAAGGACTGGTGCTTTATGCACCCAAATACAGAGGAAGTTCTCTCAATTTCCAGTCATACATCTGGTGAATTAATTGGTTTGAGCAAGAGCAACCTGCTCAAGAGAGGTTTTTTTGATCTCAAGATATTTCACTTTAAAATGTTAGTAAAATATTTAAAGAATGAATCCTTAGTTTTCTTTTAAAACAGATATGTAACTGTGACTTATAATTTTATTGAGAGGACTGTAACCATTTGAAATAACTTCTGTTGTAGTTTTAAATGCAGTTGTAGCTGCTTATATTTTTTAGTGCTGGCTTACCCCGTGTTACCCTGCAATAAAGCATCTTTATATAGAACCAAGGCATCATCAAGAAAGACACAAGTCAGTAGTCTAATGAGGCAAATTGGTTGCAAATAATTTCCTTTATCCAAGTAGGGGATTTGAATAAATAGTTTGAATAATTAGTATTGATTAATGGATGATTTCCAGTATCATGCTGCTTGTTACTTAGCAGATAGATGTATCTAGGATTTTCTTGCATCTGAAACAAAATCTGTTCTTGTTCTCTAAGTGTCCATTTCAGGAGGGTGATGACGCTTGCCAATGTGTCTTTATAATTTCTTTTACTTGGTTTCATATCTATATTTTAGCATGTTCTGTTTTTTACAATGTTTCTTGTAATACCAATTGAAAATGTTTCCTTTTCAATGATGGTGATGGTGATATTTTACAACATGCCTTATTTATAGCAGGGAAGAGTCATAATGGGGGAAACAAAGAAGGACATCGTTCTAAACCTTGGATTATCTCATCTTCCAGACAACTTAGTGAATGCTAGTTATACTGTCAGTGCTTGTTATATTTTTGGAACTGATCTGATCACTGGTACATAAGCCAAATATTTTCTGTATTTCCTTATGTTTTAGAGTTATTTGCTAAGATATTGATGATGGTAAATTATACTTTACATATACACAGCATGACCTAGTCCCCTGCAGCAAAATGGTCCTGAAACCTCCTGCTTGGCTGCTGCCTGATCCTGGCGGCAGTAACATGCTGTAGGTGATCTGGGTTTTGACAGGAGTTTCTGAGGCACACGCAGTCTGACTTTGCTACGTGAGCAGAAACCATGCACTTTCCTTTGCCCTGGCCAGGGCCCGTGCCTTTCTCCACCCATCTCCCTGTGGTCATTGATTGCTGCCGTACTTTAAAGTATGAGCTGCTTATAGAGCAACCCACCTTATTTATAGTGCTTACAGCACTTGCCAGGTGGTGGCTGTAGGAAAAGAGATTTCCCACCCTGTTGGCATCTTCCTCGGAAGCAGCATAACCACTAGGACATTGCCAAGGTGGAACTGCTCATCATCTGGGTGGATGAAGCTGTTTTAGAAAAGAAGTCAAACTTCATTGGGCAGGGTGGGGAGGGCAGACAGGAAAAAGCACAGGCAAAAGTAGCCAAGGGATGAGGCGCTGGCAAATTGAAGGAAGGAGAAGGAAACCTGGCTTCTAGCCCTTCTTCCAAAGGTTGTTTGTTCACTGAGCTGATGTTTCATTTGAGACTCATTTCTGGTGCGAACAACCAGGATGCTGAGCTTGTGGCTATAGCAGCTATAGCTCCTACAGCTTCCATCTTCAAAGAACAGCTGTAGCCTGTAGCCAGCCTCTTGCATTGTTGCTTACATTGGTGGCATACTGCTCTGCAAGCATGCAAAGTCTATGGCTTTCTTTCATAATCTTACTTTTGGTCCTGGAAACTGTGTTGTAAAGTACTTCTTGGCATAGAGTTGGTTTCCTGTTTACTTCTGTCTTTTTTTTTTTCCCCCTTTTTTCTCCCTTTTTTCTTTTTTTCTTCTTTCCTCCGTCCATCTCAGTTCATCTGCTTCCTTAGTCTATCTTTGACTTAGCCCCTATGGTTGACCCTGCACTGTATTTGACCACTTACCAGATTGGATGGGAAATCATACAGTTTTCAGTGGTATCCTTAAAGCATCTAAGATGCATAGTTTGACCTATCATAAGAAAATGTCACTGAACATTACTGATGTCATTACCACAAGAGGTACAAGAACCTGTTTCTCAGACGTGCTTTCCGAAATCTCAATGGACTTCCACTGCAGTGCAGAACATGCCTGTATCAGTTACATGTTGGCAAAGAAATAGCGTTGCTAAGCTGTAGGGAGATAAGTAGATTTAATCTCTAACATAAGTGAGGGTTTAAAAAGAAAATAGAGGAAATGAAAGCTTTTGCATATGTAAATAATTCACAGATGGGTATGTACACTTGCTAGGTATGAGAAAGGATAATGAAAACAAGAGGAATTTTTTTTTTATCAGTAAGGTGAAGATTTGCAAGTCTGAGAAAAAGGAAAGGTTTTCAGTGGATTAGCATCTGAGAAAAAAATGATTACATGTTTATGAATATCCTACAAGAGTTATGTTTGAGTAACATGAAATGGAAAAACATATTAAAGGTCTTTTCCAGCTGTTGTTCCAATATTGCTTTTAGCATATCTACATGTAGTTTTGGCTATATTGGTTTCCAAATTTGTTATATAAAATCTCAGTAACTCAGTGCAATAGAAGGGCAGTTAGAACTAAGACAGTTGTGAAGATGGTTTGGAAGCTAAAGCTGATGTGCTAGAGAAAACAGAATGCAGTGTAGCCTCCTTCATGTGAAGTCAGGGTGTTATTAACTTGACCAGAAATTGGAGGTTGAACGTAGATTTGCTGGAAGAAATTCCTTAGTTGACCTCATGCAGGAAATCAGACTAGGCTGCTGCAGGGCTCTTTTTGGGCCTTGGCATTTCTTGCAAACTAGAATTTTCTTGGTGCTTTTTGTATGACTTAGCCTGTTAAACTTTGTCTGGTATTCTGTGCCATTTGTGCTTATTCATTTTTTTTGTTCACTTTCTTCATTTTAGGTTCAAGGAAACTTTGACAAAGTTGAATTCAACAGGATGTGCTGGACTCTCTGCGCTAAAAAGAACCTCTCTAAAAGTCCTTTGATGATTAGTGATGAAGATGCATTTAAAGTATGGGTTATTTTTAACTTCTTATCAGAGGACAAATACCCTTTAATCATTGTACCTGAGGAGGTAAGAAACAAAAACTTAAGCTGTTTAACACCAGTTTGCTTAATGCCCTGGTTAAACTGTGTTAATGTTTGCTATTCTCTAGAGATTTAAGAGAATGTAATTGTTTAATATAAAACTTTTATTCCCCTCTTTTAATAATGTAAGGCCTTGGGTACTTTTCTTTGTTTTCCAGGGTGCATGTGTGGGGATTTCCACAGGATACTTTAGATATTGATGGCTGTGCTTGTCTGTCATTTAAACAGCCTGGACTAAATGGGATGTGCTGCTTGCCCCCCAGTAAATAGCTTATTTTGCTTTTTGTGAGGACTGACGGGTGCTGGAGAGACTAGCACCAGTACAAGCACTCACAGCTGTTGAGGTTCTTGCTTCGCTCATGAGTAGTGCATGTATGTGATCTTTAATCATTGCACTTGCTTATATGTGATTAAAATTTTGCACAGTTAGTACATCAGTGTGATTCTGAAAAAAAAAATCTCCCCTCTGCTCTGTGTTACCATGACTTGCAAAATAAGTCTTCAGTCTCATGTCAGCCTCTGGATGAAAAGGTGAAGTACGAACTTCTCTGACAATGTCTGTTTCTGATCAAAAGCAGCCACCACCTGAACACTCTCACTTGAAATGGTTGAACGAATAATACCAGAGGGATCTCTCGATACTTTTAAGTTCATGAACAAGTATGGGCAATGCTCAAATAGGTGTTTTAACCCTAAAGCAAGATTTTGGTATCTCCATTATTCTCCTCTTGGGGAGGGGCAAGGGAAGAAGTAGAAAGATCAGAACTGTAGGTATAAATAATCTTTTGCAAAACTGTATACAGAGATTGCAGGGGTTTGCAGTTCAGCATTGGAGTATAGATTAATAAATATTTGCAAGCTGTTGAACGGTCAGGGATCAAATCAGTCTGATTTACATGCCACTATGACATAACGGTTGGACTACAAGCTGTTGTACCAAATAATGAAGTACACATTACTCCCCTACCAAAATAAACTGCTCGCTTTTGCCTTACCACTCACTTTTTAGCTCGAGAATTTAGTTCTGTACAGTGTTTCTGTTTTTGCCAGACTGATGATGTCAGGGCTCTGCCTGGCATGCTATATTCCCATGAGAAATGGGACAGTTTTCTTGCTTGCTTTTCTGTTTTTTTCTGTCAGTTCTGGGAGTCGGGGATCATGGTTATAAAAGCTAAGACACCTTTCTTAATGGTGCCAGATTTGGCTTTGGTAGAAGGTCAGAGCCACTAATAAATGTCAAAACTGCGACTCAAATCCACAGCTCTGGTTTGTCATTGTGTTCCCCACTACGCAGCCTGGCTTACCTGAGGGGTAGGTATTTCACATCTCCTTATTTGTTGGCATGGTTAAAAGCTTCAAACCTGCCAGCTCTGGGGCATCAGCGTTGCTAGCTTTCTCCCCCTCCACCAGGCAAGCCCCCAACTTCTGTAGCTGATGCTGGGTAACGGCAAGGTGTCCGTTTGTTGGCAGACAGGCTGCAGCATGGGCTCCAAGCCCAAAAAAGGTTTTCCAGATTTCATAGCTGCTGTTGTTTGCTTTCCTTCTCATCCTTAATGCCCAGGGTTAACCTGTATTGCTCTTCTGCTTGGATTATTTTTAAAATTCTTAAGGTGGATCTGTGTCTGCATCTCCTTGATTACGGTAAGATTTAAATTGTGCAATACTGTTTAAGGAAAGCTTATAGAGCCTGACAAAGAAAGGCTTCTCTGTTCTTATCATATACAATGCCTGTATTCACTCTAACCTTTTGCCTTAGACCACACAGGTAATGTAATCAGCCGGTGGAGGAATGCTGTCTGTTGAATGCACTCCTTTCTGGTTTGCATTGGTGCTCCTCGGGTTCTCTGTGCTTCTGGAAAATTCCACATTTACTCATTTACCTTTTTACACAAAATTCAAAAAGGAAAGATGCAAAGTCTCAATTTCTGTCAGTTTTGCTTTTTCTCTGTGTGACCTTTCATATCTGCCTTTTAAGTTCTTATGTCTGGTTTTTTATGTTAAATCTAAGTTCCAGATTTGCAAAGCATTTTTTGGTACAATCTTGTAGTTGTTGTCTTAGTGCCTGAAAACAACTCTTTTCAATAATATTCAAAACGATACTGGTAACTAGTAATGGTATTTTTCTTTCCATTTACTTTTTATGCCTCAAGTTCATAATAAAGCTTGATTATGTATTTAGTCTTCACCACTTTATATTGCATCCTTTCATTTAACTACGAAATGGCTTGCATGTCATGTATAAAGTGAGGAGACACTTGCAAAGTGAAGAAGAGAGCTGAGGGTGATGGAAGCATTGCTGTTCTGTCATGTTTGTGTTTCGGGGAGAGCAATGCAACCCTTTTCCTGGGTGACTATAGCTTCCCGGTCAGGGAGCCAAGCTTTCCTTCCTTCCCTCCCTGTTCTCTTATTGTTGGCTGAGAACATCGCAACACAGAATTTACTGCAGTTTCTGGCTTGGAGTCCTTTGCGTGGGATCCTGCCGTTTCCCCTCCTCCCGCCCTTCCACCTCATAGGCTTTTGGGTTTTGGAGATTTTGTTTCCCCTTTATAAGTAACTAGGTAACTTGCCTCATACTTTCTGGTTGGAAGGGTGATCCCTTAAAGATTTTTACATCCCATCTTGTGGATGGGAAGATTATAATAGAGAGAATTCCTTAGATCTCCAGTGAATGTGTTTATACAGCTTGATGCGGCTGTGAGGATGCCCTCGCTTCCTCCTCCTTGGAGGAGCTGCTCTTTGAGACCTGCTTTGGAGTCTGATTTTCTTTTTCTTTCTTTTTTTTTTTTTTAAGTAAGTGGTTTCTGCACTCACTTGAACAATTTCATATCTGGAAAACCCTCCTGCTTGGGTGCAGTTTCACCTTCTTTGCATTAGGCTGACTAAAGATTGAGGCTGCTGTCCTTCCTTCTTGCCCATGTTGTGTACTTTTGCACTACTGCTGCTGTGCTAGGCCTTTCATATTAGACAGCTAATTGTGGTGGGGCTGTTACCCCCATCTGCAAAGTGTTAAGTCTTGATTCCCTGCCCAGGTGTTGAATGGGCAGAAAATTGGGAACAGCTGCAGCTCAACCAGAGAAGGGAAAACAGTCTACTTTGGAAAGGTTTTGGAGATGCAGGCTGAGGAAAGCTTTAAAAAGAACAAAGTGAGAAAAGCAGTTACAAAGAGGGAATTTGAAAGCAGTGGAGAGGTGACACAAGGGCCAGAAGTTGCTCGTCTAGCAAAAGCCAGATTGAAAGCCAGAGTCTACCCTATGTTCCTCCCTTGCCATGGAAGGAGAGATGGCAGCCCTGCACTTGAGGGAAATAAGGTTAGTAAAATCCAGCATGAGGGAGGGCTTGGATTGGGGTGTGCGGTTTTGGGATGTGACTTCAAGCTTGAGAGCATCCCTCTAGATTATGGGGAGAAGTCAGGTGACGGAGAGACAGGAGCTGGTGGCTATGTAGGGTGCTGGGCTCAGCTGGTAATGGTCTTGGTCTCCAGTGTTGCTACTGTGGGCTACAGGTGGGCAGCTGGAAGCAGTTAGGAGATTTGGAAAGGAACAGAGATCCATGAATGTCTGTTTTGCAAAGATGCTCATGTCCCAGGAAAACGTGAAATGGTATCAAATCTGAAAGCTCCCTCCCCTTTCAGTGAGAAGCCTTGGTATGTACAAAGTGAAACAGTTCTGTGAACTGGGTTGATGTGGTATTTCAAAGAGATGCGGATGGATTAGAGGAAAACAATGCTGTGTTTTGTTTTCTCTAGTTAAAATCAGTCCTGATGGACAGCTTTCAAAATTAATACAATTCTCAGCTAACAACAGAATTGCCTTCTGGTGCAGTGGGCAGAGCTTTACCAAGCAGCTGTATTGCTAATGTGCCTGGAAAGCAGGGAGTCAGGTGGGAGCTCCTTTCCCTCCCTGTAGCTGGTCTTTTCCACTAGATCATCTGAGACGCAGACATGCAAGTGTGTGTTTCGTTTGGTTCTTGTGGGTATTACCTCTTCCGTGAGAGGGATAAAATAAAGGGAAGAAAGGTGGAGAGAACTGTAGCCATAAGAGGAGAAATATTTCTAGTCTGTCATGAGCTTTCCTTACAACTCACCTCTTAGTTGTTACAGACTCATTTGTGTGCCTTGGTGGTGTTTAACCAGACGTTTTCTGGTTTTTATAAAAAAGGTTTCCAAATACTTCCTCTTTCTTATTTCTGGACATGTGACTGCAGCCTTGGGAATGCTTTATCGCCTGAAAGCTGTGGTATGTGGTTAGCTGTGTTTCTGGGCCATCCTTAATGGTGAAACTCACAGATATGTACACTGCAAGCTGTGTGCTCTTTGTGTGTTGTAATCTGGTGTTCACATAACTTGTTTTAAATAACCCAAGCGTATTTGCTGTCTGTGCTTTTTAAGCCTGGCCTGTTGAAGAAGGAAGATTTGTACAGTCATTTTTCACTTGTCTTCTAGCCTTCAACAGTATTAACACGGCGTATTTCTAATCCTCCTAGTTAGGACAAGCCTTGTGTGGCTTTCTGTGCATTTGAAAATGAGGTGATGTTTTTTAGACTGAGGAGGTGAAAGTCTCGAGCTGTCCGGTGGTGATTCTTCTGGAGGCATTTCTTGCAGAAAAAGTTTTTTGTGACCACATTTGCTTCGTTGTTCTGCATTCTAGTATCAGAAACTGATACAGTGAATGAAATACTGGGAATCGAACCTTGGCCATTCAGAAATAAAATCAAAACTGATACAACTAGAATGAAAGATGCTTGTGTGTGGTTTTAATTGACCCATGATCTCTACAAGTTGATGATGATGGTTAGAAAGATTTTTAGTCACAACTTGCATCAGTTTTTCCCATTTTACTACTCCATTCCTTAATCACTCAAAAAGTAAGCCAGTTTTCAGCTTGTAGGAGGTTGTCCTTGGGATTTACATGTTTACATGTTACACTGTTTTTTGAGTTGACCTTCATTATACTACTTAATGCTAATTTAATTAAAAAAAAAATAATGACTTATGCTGGATAATGAACACAGTTTTGTTGGTGGAAAGGAAGAAATAAATATTTGACTTAAAAGTAAGTGATGTTCTGATGGGATGAAGAAAAGGAATTGATGGTAACTATGAAAGGGTTATGATTGCTTTCATGCTTCTTGCCCAGTAACATATGCTTCCACAGAATTTTGTACAACATGAATAGACTTTTTATGTCTGCTCTGTTAATATCACAAACCTTATTTGAATAGTATGAACCAGAATAGCTTTGTCTGCCATGCTCTGCTGGGCATAAAGGCCTCCTTGACACTATTTTTCATTTTTCATCTTCTAAGAGACCCACTCATATATCAGAAAAATATGTGAAACATCTATGATACTTCATTCCCAGTGGAGGGTAGTGCCAGGAATACCTGGAAAAGAAAAATAGGTATTGAAACATAGGAAAAGAAAGTGCCATCTGAAAGAAGATACCAGACAGACTGCATAGCTCATGTTAAAGAGCCTCTGTTCTTTATGTTTATTTCTATTGGCAAAATTCTGGCTGCAGAGTTTCTGTTGATTTGAGATAGAAGCTGTTTTTCGTACTGTGGAGACGGTTGGTCTGTACTGGCATAGGTAGTGTTAGCAATCCTGCTCCGATTTTTACATCTGTACGCGAAAGTAAGGTCCAGTCAGAATAGCAGCAAACATTGCTTCACGTTTGCTTTTCAACACTCTGCTTTTTAACCACGAGAGTAGATTATGTTTGAACCAGTAGACTTAATTTGTCAGTTATTTGCTGAGTTGATATGTCTCTTTGTCGAAGAGGGGAGAAGTAATTTGCTCTCAGAGGTTCCTTATTTGAGCACATAATGAATGGTCTCTTACTTGCTTCCATACTGAGCCAACTTTTTTCTTTATATTTACCTCACACTCTTCCATATTTATACCCCACCTATTGAGCAGATGTGTTAGATAAAATTTTTCTGGGGACTTCAGTGAGCCATACTTATATGAATGCAAGGTAAAGCTTGAATTTTTATTTTAGAAATTAAATTGTGATATACACAGGTCCTTTTTCAGTTAAGAAGGGTTAATGCATTTTAAAATAATGAGATATTTTACGTACTTTAATGGGATTATAGGATATTTGTGGTCATGTTAGTGACTTGTAGATGGGAGTTAGCACACTTAAATGTTTAAATCTGTTCTAATAATCAAAATAAGGTAAAATGTGTACAAATGACATGAAAGGAAAGGATATGTTGACTTATTTTTAGTGCATTACATGATAATGTATACCAGCCAAGAGTTTTGCACTGCTTCTTTTCCAGACCATTAGTTTTATATTCATTTTGTTCATATGGCTTGAGCAAAAAAGTTTAAAAATCTATTCAGGTATGATTTTTTGTGTGTGTGTGCCCCTTTCTCTGAAAGCGAGTCCTAGTACTTTGAGATAATTAACCAAAGGAATTTGAGAGCTGCATGCCTCAAGCAGTGTAATAGGTTGTGAAATCTTGGAACAATACATTTTAAAGTTCATTAAGTTTTAATGAATTTTTTTTTTTTTTTGTAATTACTCTCTAGCATTTTGGCAGGTATGTTATCTACCTAATTAGGCCTCAGTTATTTTAGCTTTCCTTTCAGCTAAAGTACAGGATCATAGTTCAGAACTGATGCTGCTCAGAGGGACTGAACCAAGTGACAGAATGTGTTTTGAACATTGGGAAAAAAAGTTACTCCTGCATTGATGCCAGAGCTCATTTCAGCTCATCAAAATCAGGTTTTAGGAGGTTTGTTTTGCAACAAGTTCACAGTGCTACTGCTCTTGCATGCTGTAAAGGGCTTTTTTGGGTTTTGGTTGGTTTTTTTCTATAAAACTTGTCTGGAGTAGGAAGTAAGCTGCTTCCTGCCTTTAACTGAATGTTGAGGATTTATGGTAGCTGATGCTTGAAAGCCATGGATTAGTTTTTTAACTTAAGGATTTTAACTTTAAGGAGTTAACTTAAGGAGAGTGAAAATCAGCAAAGCATATTTTAAAGATTTTTACAGGAATTAGTTACTGAATTTTACAGAGATCTAGTGAAAATTACATGTTGACTGCTTGGGAGGGCATGCTAAAATTTCCTTGCTATCATGTTGACTGTATTAACTTCAGTGATTGAGCTGTGTGTGGAACCACTGCAAAGCACGGGCTTTGGTGAACAGATTTGAGCAGCCGTGAGCGTCGCACAGCAGAGCCCTGGCACTGCGGCAGCGGGAGGCCGGTGCCACCCTCTCCGGCCTGTGGCTCGCAGCCTGTCTGGAGGAGGGGGAAGCGGGTGTGCAGGTGTGTCCTCCCTGGGGGTGCTTTCTTCAAATGGCAGATGGGCACAGCACAGAGCTGAAAGTCATCTTTGCTGATCCCCATAAACCTTGTACCTGGTGTTACTTGCACTTGTCTACAGTTTGAATGCCGCTTTTTGCAGAGGCCTCTGTTCAGATCAGATCTTTGCTAGGAAGAATTGCGTGAGGAGCTGAAAATACTTAAAATGCCTTACTCTGTGAAGCTGAAATGAAAAGCAATGCTCTCTACAACTTCTGTACCCACCCTGGAGGCGTATTCTGCGCCTGGCTAGCCTGTCTTCTCTTAAGACAGTCTTTACAAGGAGGATACGACAGCCATATCTCGGAGGGATATGCGCTTCCTGCTCATTCAATGGAATGGGAACATTCCTCTAGACAGTGCAGCAGCTTTCAGTAGCTTCTCCATTTTGCCGTAGCATTAGTCCATGTGCTACCAGAGTAGGGGTGGTGAGACTAAGAACAGTTACGGAGCTGAAATAGTAAGAGCCCACCCATCTGTAGGATGAATTTGGTAATCTACTGCTTTACCAGATGAGTGTGTTCTGCTACACATTTGTGTGTTTCTTGAATGTAGATGCGAGGGAAAGGAAGGGCTTTGCCTGTACCAGTTGCAAGAGAGAGAAGCAGGAACCACAAAATTAGCATGTATGCTGCATCAAGACCTTGAGGCCTGGGAGTCCTTGTGGTGAAATGTTGTGTGGGAAAAAAGCTTTACTTCTTTGTACTCCCAAATCTCTTACGTAGAGACTGCTGGGTGCTCAACAGCCTATTAGACCAGCTGAGAGGTGACTCTGAGCTGTAGCTGGAAAGTTAATTTATTCTGTGGTGAAACATCCTCTGGCTGTCTCAGCCAGCATTTTTCTTACCTGTAGGGGAAATTATATTTGTGTTTTCAAGCAGTGCTGAGCAGCAGAGGCGAACCAGCATTGGTGATTAGAAAAATGAAGTCCTGGAAATCATTTAGTTTCCACCACTTTTCCATGAGGTATGTTCATGCTGTACACCTTAGTCATTTTTGATAATGGGATTCAGACTCCTGAGTCACTTAGCGTTTCCAAAACCAGACCTAAAATATGTGAACTGAAAGTGGAGCAGACTGTCCTGAAGGACTAACCTTCAGAAAAGCAGCGCTTGAGGAAATCTGGGTTATTTCCATGTGCGCAGTGGGAGCCTGAAAGGATTGTGTTGCTTTCCCTCCCCACCTCTGCCGGGCAGGGTGCAGTTCCCACCCTGTCGCATCCCTCATGCCCGTAGAGAAGCAGGCAGCCGGGACGAGCCCTTGTCTGCAGCTTTGTGGACCAACCTCCCGGGACGTGGTTCTGTGCTGGCCTTGCAGTGGCTGGAGAGAAAGGCCAGCTCTTGGGGGAGCGGGTGGTGCCCTGTCCCTGCGGTGGGCTGGTGTGGGAGGGTGCTCTGGTGCAGGGTTACTGAGCACCCTCTCCCCAGGCTTCCTCCTTAGGGAGGGCGCAGGCAGCTGTACGGTCTGCCTTGGCTGGTTGCTGAAGGCAGTCAGGTTCCCTGCGAAGCTGGAGAGGAAACGCAGTGAGCCATTACCCAAAATAGCAGGAGGCTGCATTAGCTTGGTCTGTCTTCAAAACTGGGTTAAATGCTGTAATTGGTATCCTGTGACTTCAGCCATAGAAATTTAGAAGCGTGGCTTTGACTTTGGTGTGTAGAAGCCTTTGTAGGAAGCCTCTCATCAATTATTTTAAGAGCCATTAAAAGCACTTTATGCATGCTCAAAGCTGTAGGTGGGCTTAGTTTAAAATACTGTGAGCGAACAGTCATGAGTTTAAAAGCAACATAAAAAACAGACAAAAGAAGATACTCAGCCTTCTTTCCCTCTTTTTCACTCTTGTGTTTATTTTGAGTAGTGTTATTACCCTGTGTATTATTACCCTTTCATCATTACAGAATGATTAGAGGAAAAGGAGAGTTTATTTTGGAAACAATAAAAGCAGACATGAAAAATATGTTCTTTTACTTCTCTTGATACATCTGCCAAGATTGTGTCCAGTGATGGAGTGCTTGAGAGCTAGAGAAGAGGGGCCAGGTGAAGACTAAGATATGTGATCATACCTTAGTAGTTTTTCATTTCACTTCTTGTCCAAACTGCTGTATTTTCTAATTTTTTCTAATTTGTTTGCTTTTTATCTTACAAGAATACTTTTTGAAACTTCTTGCTTTCTCACACTTCAGTCATCATGGTTTGGAAGCTTTTGCAGGGAAGGTCCCATGTGTTCTGTGGGAATCTGAAATATTAAAAGAGGCTGTCAGGTTCAATTATTTGTTTCTTTACTATGAAGAGAGTAGCTGTAGGATGGGTTTGGCAGTCAAAAGTTCAACTGAGACAGGAGCCTAAAATCTTTGCTAATTAAACCACCTATGTTTAGGGGCCTACATGTGAGCATAGGAATCTAGCTGTAATCATAGTCTCTAGAGAAGCTTAGTTTATGGCTCTGAAACACTTGATTTCCATGCCTGCTGAAAATTACTGATTTCTGTTTGTATTTCTGTACAGATTGAATATTTACTAAAAAAACTCACCGAAGCAATGGGAGCAGGCTGGCAGCAAGAGCAGTTTGACCATTATAAGATTGCTCTGAACACCAGTCGAGAAGGTCTTTCTGCATGGGAACTGATTGATCTCATTGGAAGTGGGCAGTTCAGTAAAGGAATGGACCGACAGACAGTGTCCATGGCAATCAATGAAGTCTTTAATGAGCTCATATTGGATGTACTCAAACAGGTAAGAGCTACAGAGAACTAATGTTTTAAAGTAGAACAATTTATTGTGTAAATAGAAAATGTTCAACTTGTACTGAAATTTCTTTACCTGATAGATAATGAGGAGGAGGAAATTAGGTAAATTAGTTATAAGGTATCTTTAATATGAACTTATTTTTATAAAAAATAAATTGTGCTGCTATTCAGCTTTTTGTAACTGCTGCAGTAATAAGAATGAGTTGTTTGTTGGGAGAGTTTGTTTTTAGAAAGTAAAAGAAATGGGCTCTAACTTGATATACATGCAGCCTTTTTTATACTAATATCAACTGCTTGTTACCTGACAGAATAGCTGCAACTCGCTGTCAGTTCTTCAATTGGTGACAACTCTTCAATCTTTGAAAATGCTTTTTTTCTAGTTTCAGTTACGTTGCAACAAATACAAGTTGTACTGATGATAACCTCTGTATTCAAACAAGGGGGTCTGATCAAAGATGGAAGGTCTGCCTCTAAGTTGCCCCACTTCAACAGGGCAAAGAGGTGTAGATGAGCTCCAGAGCGCTCTCCCTTGTTCTACTTAGCAGGCTATGTGACTGACAACTTATTTACCTGTACACCTGTAAACACAAGAAATCATGCTGGCCTTTATACTCTTAGCAAACTTCTGTCAATTTTCAGTTTCTTCAGATTTCCAGTGACTGGATAATCACTTCAGGAATGGCATTAAAAACTGCATTTCTTTCATGGGAAGTATAAATATCACAGGGACCTGAGGCAGAGCTTACCTGGAGAGCTATCTGAAATTGACTTTTACCTGACAGTGAATTTTTTTCATCTTTGATTTCTTGGCTTCTTGGTGCGGAGAGAAACAAAGGCTTTCTTGGCAGGCTTTCCTAAGCTGTTATAAAGAAATCATGAGAAGGTCTTGGCACAGGAAATTCTTTCAGAATATCCACAGAACAATGCAAAAGTCTATTTTTGTTAACTGCTGGTTGCCTGTTGGAGGTGAGGTCTGGGACATAGTCAGTTGAGGGCAAAATGAAGTCATTCTGCTGTTAAATACCATGAAAATAAAATATTCAGTGTCAGGTCAGTCCTTCCACTTGAAACTTGTGAGGAAATTGGATTTCTTTTCAGTTTTGATACTGCATTGTGTGTCTCTCTCCCTCCTCCCCCCCCCCCCTTTTTTTTTTTTTTAATACTGTCTCCTTCCTTTCCTCTCTTGGTGGGCCTTTTTCTCAAGGATGTCTGAGTGCCTTTGAATGGTTCCTTGACACTTAAAAATAGTTTGTGTCAAGATTTGGCCCAGCGCCTCCTGGACGGTCACTAGCCTAACAGAGAACGGAGTTGCCCATGTGACTTGCAGATGTGTGGTTCGGTCACAGCTTGTTCCCTGATACCTTGTTGATTCACAGAATTGTCTTGTTTATTGCAGTATATGATTGCTTCAAGGTATTAATTAATGACATATTGTAATCATAGCCGAGTGTCATACTACCCTTTTTATTGTACTCTTATCCTGGATCTCCAAGGCTTATGGAGGGTAGCAGCGATAATTAAATTTCTGATGTTTAGTTTTCTGAAAGACATGTCTTTCATGTGATAGCTGGTGTGAAAAGATCCCCAGGAGCTGTCAGTGGGCTCTTGGAAGATGAGAAGCAGCTGATGCGCTGAAATAATAGATAAAGATTTTGCAGAAATCTAAGGGGAAAATATCAGTTTAACTTGGCTTTGAAAGCAAATTCAGTATGTCAGGAAGGGGAAAAACACCTGGTTTTAACTTAGACTGTGCAAGGCATGAAAGATTGAAGCTGCGGGAGTCCTTCACACACCCTTGCGACCACCCAGACCTCAGACTCGTGTACGGAGGCGGCAAACAAGGCTGTTTCTCCGTGCATTCCTGTTTGGGAGCAAGGGGGTGGGATGGCACAGGGGAATAGGCACGGCTTTGGCTCTGGCTGCATTTAACTGGCTAGAAAAGCTCAGCACGGATAAGCTGTATGTGTAGGGGGGTGTGTTTCATTTTGGTTTGGTTTTTAAACAAAAGAGCTTCTCCAACTGTCCTGAATTTTTTTCCCCCCTCAGACCTGTACAGAAAGACGCCCTTGATGTAAATATGCCACAGCACATTTATTTGTTTGCTCATATCAAAATTGCTGGAGCTAAAAGCCATTACAGAAAAATGTTTCTTGGTCTCCTTTCCAACTTTTCCATCATCTTAATCTGGAATACTTGGAGTGCTTTCCGTATGGTTTGTTCATAGCTGTATTGATGTAGGTGTTTCAGTTTCATCTGCGATTTGACTTTTTTCTGAAGTTAGAAGTGAGACAAAAGTGTATTAAGTAATTGGGGAATATGGTTTCAGAAATGGCAGGCATAGCTGAAATACTGGCAAACTTCAAACTCCAGATTAAAAACTGACTAGGTTACAGCAGTGCCCCTGATAAGATCACTAAAAATCAAATGCCTGAAAGAATGACCAATTATTATATCATTCTCTGTGCACTCTTTTCCATGAGATGGTTTTTGAATTGCCATAGCCATGCTGAATAATGTATAACAGGGTTACTAGTGTAACTGCACTTAGTATTGCTGCTTATAGTTTAGATATGTTAATATTCAATAGAGGCAAACTTGGATGATTTGATCATGATACCAGCCCTGTTTATTGTCATTACGGAAGATTTTAATTTTTATTCTTTTATTTATATAAAGCTCAGTGGCAAAGTATGGGCTTCTCTTCCTTCTTTTGAAATAGTCTTGTTAAGGCTTGCAAGTGTTTTTCTCATATAAGAAGTTGAGTGGATCATCTTTCAAGAAAAATAAAAATACTGTGAATGAAATCTTGGCATTGTTTAAATCAAGGTACAACTCTCTTCCTTTAAGGGAAAATCCAGGCTTCACCAGCGTTCCCATATCCCATCCAGTAAAGATGCCAGGAGTATGATTCTGTTATCAGTTTCTCTAACATACTCATTGAAGTATCCTGTATGGGATCCCTTCTTCAATGGGGTGCAGCTAAATGAATGTGTTGGCAAGGCAGAGCCACTCCCAGGACAGAGGTGCTTCTGCTTTGTCTCTGGGAGTACCCCGTAACAGGCTGGATTTATAGTGTGCAGATGAAGGCCCACGTCTGTCACTGGGGTGTGCAGCCACAAAGGACTGATTTTTAGTAAGGGCTGTCATTAAAGTATTACAGGTGAGTCTTAGTGATGGCAAATGTCTCTGCTTGACTGAAGAAAATGAAAGAGTAAAGGTCATCGAAGAGGACTGAAGAGTCATAATAATGACTTGATAGTGACATGATGATAGTAATTGTTCAGTTTTTTGAGGTAACCCAGTTGCTGCTCTTCTGTCCAGTTTTTAAGTGAGTAGTTTCTCACGGGCTAAACAATTAGCAGTGTGCTGGTATTAGGAATGCAAGTGTGTAGGTGAAGTATTTAGGACCTTGAGCTAACTTTTCTGTGTGCTGTATTGGGCCTTTAAGCCATATAACCAAAAGACCAGGCAGAAAGGCTGGATGTTTCAGCTGATCTGTCACTTTTTACAGGGCTATATGTTGAAAAAAGGTCACAAAAGGAAAAATTGGACGGAACGATGGTTTGTGCTAAAACCTAATATTATTTCCTACTATGTAAGTGAAGATTTAAAGGACAAGAAGGGAGACATCATACTGGATGGCAACTGTTGTGTAGAGGTAAAAAAAACCAAACCACACCAAAAACTTGTGAATATCTCTAAAGATAAGAATTAATCCTTTTTTGTGTGCGGGAGGGACTCCTGATGCCTTTCATTAATGGTGCTTTTTTTACTTCATATCAAAACAGTTCATAAACACTCTGTTAATAAGGGTTCTTAGTGCTGGTATTTGTAGCTCTGTAACAGATACCTGCAATCATGGGGCTTGACAATGTATCTTAGACTTCGCTGTTTGCAAGGCTAATCCTTTTGTTACCTATTCTAGGCCTTGCCTGACAAAGACGGAAAGAAATGCCTTTTTCTCATAAAATGTCTTGATAAAAGCTTTGAGATCAGTGCCTCTGATAAAAAGAAGAAGCAGGAGTGGATTCAAGGTGAGGTTTCAAAAAATTTGAAAGCTAAGGTAAGCTGAAGGCTTACAGGTGTGCTTTACTCAAATTTGAAATTCTTGGTCTTGTGATTTTTGATGTCTCCGTTTTGGGCATGTGGAAAAGATCTTTAAGGAGCCTGAGGCTCAGGAAGAACTAAGGATCGACATAAGGGGAATGTTTCTGTCATTTAGGTGCCTCAATTTAGGCAGCCATAACCAAAATGAAATGGCTATTATTGTTTGTTTTTTTCTATGCTGGCTGTACTTCTAGGGATGGGGAAGGGAAGAGGAATATATTGTAAATTGTTGCTTTTGGGGAAAAAGGGAAAGCTTGTTGATTTCAGCATGATAAAATACTGACTTTGCTTTTAGGGTTTTGCTTGAGGTAGTATGTTTGGTGAGCTGAGGATAAGCCTGGGAATTAGGGCTTCCTTTTCTGTTCCCACGGTGAAGGTACTACTTCTGTGAGACCTTCCCAGATACGTGCTGACTGAGAGTTACATGCATCTTTTGCAGAGTGAGGTAGAAGCCCCTGCAAAACCACTGTTGCCAATGCCGTTGAAGTATGTACAGCATTTAAATATTTGGAGCTTTCATTTTCACTTCCCTCTTTACCTAAAGCATACCAAAGTCAGATGTATGACAAATGATTACTTAGTTCCAAAAGGAGATCTTTTTTCACAGTTGTAGTAAGGGAATAAAATATCAAAATCATCTGCGACTTCTCAGCTTTGCTTTCTGTATATTTCCTTACTGAATGTAAGTGAATGAGAGCTACTGTCTTACTGAGAAAAAGTTTTTCCCTTGGAGTATCAGTAAGAACATAGGGTTTAAGGTTGGTTCTAGGGAAGTAATTGATGTATATGGTAGATAACATCTTACTGCTTGATTAGAGTCACTGAATCTAGCTGGTAAGAAATCTTGAAGTGTTGGGTTCTTTTTTTTTTTTTTTTTTTTTGCAGCTAGATGTACAAGTGACTTGTATGTCCACAGCTCGTTGGAAGTCAGTATTGGAATTGACATAATGCAGTGGAATTGCCAGACCTTACCCTTGTGGCACACAGCTGATACTGAAAGCCAAGCATCTTTCACTTTTTGTTTGTGTTGACAGCTTGCCTAGTGAGAATTAGGAGAACTGCAAACAGTTATTTCTGGTTTAAAAACACATATTAAAAAAATCCCAACAAACACCACCACAAGTATTCATTCACTAAGGCTATCCAGAAAGTTTAGCATTTCCCTTCCTGGTGTTCTCTTCCTCTCCCTTTGTCTTGCATGCTCCTTTCCAGCCATACAGACCACTGTAAACCTGCTGAGAGCGGGGAGCCCTCCACCCCATAAAGAAGCACGCCAAAAACGAAAAGAATTGCGCCAGAAGCTGTTAGCTGAGCAAGAAGAGCTGGAGCGGCAGATGAAAGAACTGCAAACTGCCAATGAGAACAAACAGAAGGAACTGGAGACCGTGCGAAAGGTGCGAGTAGGAGCTGCTAAGCTTTAAGCTTAATCTCTGTGGTTGAGCTGAGCTGCTTGAAGAATAATTAGGCATCTCTTTCCTGTTCAGGTGTTCAGATACATTGAGCGAGCTCCTCCAGAGGAGGTGAGCTTATGTCAGCCTCAGCCCCCCTGAGCAAGTAGGTCTGCTGGTTGAGCCTTCAGCAAAGCCTGCAGCACTGACCGCAGCAGTTTCTAAGGACCCGCAGCAGGGTCAGGGTGACTCTTGTGGCCCAGCCCTGCCTCCTGTACTTAGAAGGGTATTGTGGCGCTAGCGTAGGAGAAATCCCCGGCTGTGTGGATGGTGTCTGGGGACTGAAGAGTCTAGTATTTTCAGTTAGTTGCGGGGTTTTTGTTTTTCTTTTCTGTCAGACACGTCTGTCAAACTTGGGGCTTTCCATTGAGATTTTCTTACAGAGTTTTCCAAAGCTATGTTATGTGAATTGTATGTGTGTGGGAACTGTTCTCTTCACACAGATGTAGTTTCCAGAGATACAATTGTAATTTACAAAGATTCCAAAGATGCATAGTGATTTTGTGAGTATAGGCGTAATTTTAGAGTAGTTTGGGAGAGACTTATAGAGCTGAGAGACATAGCAGCCATTTATAAATGTATAAATGCATGCTCCTTATAAGTGCTGGATTGACGTCTAAAAGCCTGAGAATTGGACTAGAAATCTCTGAGTATTAGCAAAGAGTTGCTGAAGACATTATTTTCCTTGTAGACAGCTTTTTAGTCTTAGTGACTGACAGGAGACACCAAAGTGTCTTTGCTGTGGCTGCACACTCTAACAGTAGATTGAAGATGCTGATGGCTCTTTATGCTTTGGGAAAAATGGCACCTCTGCAATAGTTCTCCGCAGAGACTTGAGTAGTATCCACATACACTTTCTAGCTCTTCTTTTTAAAGACTTCCAAGAAGAGTTACTGTGGCTATCATTGCTGTGATACCTTTTAATGAGGATCATGCCTTGGAAATAGCTTAGAAGGCTGTCAAATACCTCCCTCCCCACTGCTGCGTCACATTTCGGTTGCTGAGTCTCAGCTGCTAGAGCAGTCCAGATCTTTGCTCTGTGCTTAGTCTAAAGAGTCTTTTGTTCACTACCTTCCTAAGTTAATTTGATTTTTTTTTTTTTTTTGCATTCCCATTTAGGACAAATCTGCCTCATTGCTTGAATTTTTCATAAATGAAAAACACTAACTAATTTTAGGTCTCCGTTCGTTAGAAAAAACTTTAATGATCTTTGCAGCGGGGGTGGGGGGAGCTATAAATATTGTGAGAGCATGTTAAAGGTGCCAGGTCTAGAAACGAGAGAAAAATCATCCAAAAATATATTTTTTTTAAGGTCTTGTCATTAAGTCCCAATTTGTCACAAGAAGAAATTTGTCTGTTTTTTTTAATTCTTGCACTGACAGTACTGATATGGGTGTTATTCTGTTTGCCTTAAGTAGAGTCTGACAGTGGAAAAAAAAATTTTTTTTAATTTAATTTTAGCACCTATATCCTACCATGTGTTTAAGATTCAGAATACAAAATATGTTTTAAATGATAGTCTGTGTTACCTGCAAGTTACTGGTAAGTAATATACCTGTTAACAGAAATCGTAGGGCTGGATTTCTGTGTTGAGTTTACTTTATGGAGAAGATGTTAGTAGAGGGGGAAGGTAACATGAGAGCAACCCCAAGGGAGCAGTAGGATGGTGACAGGCGCCAGGGAGTAGAAATCACAATGGGTAAGCTAAAGAGAGTTGTGGCAAGAAGCATCTTTTGAAGTGAACTGGATTAAAATGACTTCTCAAGGAAAGTAGTTTAGTCTCTGATGTGAGCTACTGCACTTCGACTAAGTGGAGTTAGTGGGGAGGTACTGTGATGGAGGAACTTCAAGTGTTTGATTAGTTAGACAAATGTTCTTCAAGGAAAAGGCTTTGTAGCTGGGTCAGGAAACGGAATTGTTCTGGAAAGCTTAGTGTTAGATTTGCTCTTGATGGCAGTGAGCCACCACTTACGCAGCATCTGCCAGAGCGCGCTCTGAGGCTGGTTTGTATTTTGATAGCTCCTGCAGTAGAAAAATTCAGAAGAAGAACCTTTGTCGAAAATAGTTTTTTTTTCATATTTTTTTTAATGGAATTTTGAGATATACACATTGAACAGACTGAAAGGTAAGCTTTTCTTGCCAAGAGAGCATGCACAAGACTTGTGCACCCTTTCTGTTTCAATTTGGGGTCTTGCATGGCCTTCAGAGACTGTGCTAACTCACCCCTGCTGGAACATGTGCTCCTGTTGATTCCCCCTCCCTCCCCACCCCCAGCATTTGGGACTTTTCCCTAAACTGCACAGTTGTTGGCAGTAACCTTACCTGCCAGGAATTGATGTCCTCTGACATGAATTAAGCAGGAAGTTGCTGATAAAGAGTGGACAAACAGTGTATTTTCTTGCTGAGCTCTGGCAAAAGGCTAGCACCCACCCTTGTCTGTGACTCTGCTCAGTATTGGCAATGTTTGTTTAATTTCAAAGCGGGGAAGGAAATCAAAAGAAAAAGTTTCACTTAAATAGGCATCTTGGATTTGACTACAATTACATGCTTTTAAATGTTCTGGCAGAGGAGGAACACTGCTTCTAAAAGACTGGCATCATTTTAGCCTTTCAAAGGAGAGCAATTCTGTACTATCTTCTACAGCTTAAAACCAGAAACTATGAGCCTTCTCCTTCCCTTCTTTCCATCTATTTCAGACTGGAGTGATGTGGCAGGCACTTAAAGGAATGAAAGTTTTAGCTTGGACGTTTTAATTGTTTAGGTGTCTCATTAGTTCATCTAGGTTGTGTGAAGGAAGATGGTTTAAATGTGGTACCTTCCGAAAATACTAAAGAAGACGGGTGCCTTACTGAAGGTCTGCGGAAACAATTTCACCAGCCTAGAGTATTACAAAAGAGGGGTGCTTACTTTCTGTTTCCTCTCAAGCATCATTTCTTAGGAAAATTCTGTGAAAGAGAATTATTTTGTTTTCAGTATTGGTAAAGTTTTGGCTGGTACTCATACATTTCTAACCTTCCATGCATTCTAAAAATACATGCTATCGAAATCCTGATGAAAGGAGAAATTGAGATGACTACCTTTGTGAAATCAAAATGCAAAGAAAGTTAAGTTGCAAGATGGTGTGAAGGTACCAGCAGCTGTTTCCTAGGCCTTGGCTCTGACTAGGCTAATTTTTGCCCTAACTTCAAGTGATGATTATGGACTAGAATTTTATTTACCTTACATGGCAATTTAGGGGATGTTAAAGGGATGTGATTCACAAAAGCACAATCACTTACTTTAGTCAAAGTTTGCAGCACTTCTGCTTTTCCGTGGCAATTCAGTGCTTCTCACTTCTGTTTCTGTATGAACTCTATGCATGCTGGCATGTTTTCACTATTGGAACTCCTGTGCAGTCCTGCCTGGGATGTGGTTTTCCATAATAGTTTTTGATCCCATATAGATAGAGAAGGAAATACAGCAATTTCTATTGGTTGTGCAAAGCAGGACTCAAAGGAAACTTGGAGAGAGTCTGATAATTGACTTTTCACTGGTAAATTTAAAATTGTCTTGCAAATAACAAGATTAAAAATTATATTTAGAGATTGAGAATAGCCTCGGACATTTAAAAAAAAGCTGCTGCCTTAATGCTTTTGAAGGTTTGTTCCATTTTCAAAAATTGTTAAATAAAATTCCATTCCCTCCAAATGTTTTAATTTTAACAAATTGTTTTCCTCCTTTTCTTCCCCCCACCCCCGGCCCTTCTCTTCCAGCAACTGGAAGCAGCAGCTGCTCGTGCTGCTGAGGAAGAGAAGAAAAGACTTCAGACTCAAGTCGAATTACAAGATCGCTTCAGTTTGGAGCTGGAGAGAGAAAAAATGGTGAGTAGCGCACGTGGGTTTTTTGCTATGATTACACATAGTGAGCAATTCGTTCAGCAATGACTTCCCTCACAGGCAGTCACTGAAAGGATTCCGTGGATTTTGTAGGAGGCTGGAGAATGCAAGCTGCATTGCATTTATTAGAGACATAGGAATAAAATATTTTTACTAGTGAATTCAAATACTGGAACAGCTTTCTTAGAATTTGTATAGCATTCAAAGCTTAAATATTATTGGAAAATTGGGAAAAGTTTGACCGTTTGAAGGACAAATGCAGACTAAAGTTATCCTTGCAGTTTTCAAAGATGGAGAACCTGAAGCCAATACATACTATATGAATATGCAAAATGAACACAGACATAATCAAATGCATTTTAGGAGTTTTCTGACTTGAATATATTCCTAAAACTATTAATTTTTATACTGTGTGTTCTTTTACATTTATACACCCACAAACATTAAAAAAAAAAAAAGGAAATATTATAGCTTTACAACACTGTTACTATAATCCACACTGAGAATTGCCAAAAGAACTAATTTTCAATCTTCAGGGGCTTTGTCAGGCATAACAGGCTTTTCTGTTAGCTGGAGAAAAGAAGTAGGAATAGTCAAGTCGATGTGATGGACCATCTTGGAATATAAATGCACACAGTGCTGCTTTATGGGCTGAGTGTGAATTCCTGAATACGATCACTTTCTGGGTCAGTGGGATTTCGGTTAGCTGAGGGAAAGCAGACTGCAGACCAGTGGAGCAGGACAGACCATCCCAGTGCATTTGACCACAAGCCTTTCTTGCTGACTCCAGGAGCTGTGAAGTAAATGTTACATATTGCTAAATGCTGAGGTTTTGGTGCTTTATCCTGACTCAGTTCAAAGCCAGCTGACTGCTGTTGTCCCCAGCGCCAGGATGGGCTGAGTGGGAGGACGGCTCTGGTGCCACAGCACCCCTGGTTTCCCGCTCTGGTCAGTGAAAGGAGGGTAATGAAGATCAGAGACTTGGGTGATTGGGGATATCCAGCATCCCCTCACCTTCCTCTATCCTTCACCTTTGTTTTTTGTTATAGGTGCACTTCTCTTAGCAAAGCCAACCGCCTTAGCCGATTTCCAGCCCTTTATCCATCCTGTGCTGTTGTGGTGCCATCATCCAGATAGAAGTGTGTGAAATAAATACACTGCCGCCAAGGGAGGACTTGTCTGTGGAAGCAGTGTAATTAAACTGGCCTGACCTTTGTGTCTGGGCACTCCACAAGCTTTCTCTTCCTTCAGTTTAGGGTGTATCTGTAAACTAAGTGACAAGATGAAACTGATTGAAATTAGGTTTAAACCCCCCTGTAAAAATCCTGTACTGCATGAAGTAGGGCAATGTAAGTAATCTGTATTATAATTTTTTTTTTTTTAAATGCTCTTAGTTACACATCTACAAATCTACACTCAATTTTATCAGTTCTGCTCTGCAGGCAGCAGGAGAAGGCTTGTCTCTGAAAACACCATCTGAGGGAAACCTGGCAATTCCTTTAAAAACTGGAAACCTTTGTTGAATGTTCATGTGTCCTCAATTTATACTGCTAGGTAAGACAAAAAATGGAAGAGCAGGTTGCTCAGAAATCATCTGAACTGGAACAGTATTTGCAGAGAGTACGTGAACTGGAAGAAATGTATAAACAGCTACAGGAAGCTTTGGAGGATGAGAAACAGGCACGTCAAGATGAAGAGACTGTAAGGAAGCTTCAAGCCAGGTATGGCTTTGACCTAGTAGAAATTTATTTCAATTCCCCACTCTCCCCCCTCCCGCAGGAATAAGTAACTGTGCCTTACTAGTAAAGATTGTTTGCATCTTGGACACGCTGCTGGAAAGGGGGACTAGCCTGAAGTCCAAACGCAGGACAGATTTCCCCCCCCCCTCCCCCGCTTAGGAAGGCTAAAGCTGGTATTTATGATTTTTTTTAATATGTTTGAATAGCCCTTAGCAATGGGAGTGCTCAACAATTTCAGAAAAGCAGGCACACTTATTTTTCCATCAGGCATTGTGCATGTCAGCACTTGAAAAACTGAGCTCACTCTGTACAGACTTTTCAATTGTGTATTTTATAAAGCAGTAACTGTAAATATGACTTTCTGCTGTATTTTATCACAGGTTTAAATTGTAGTTGATAAAGAGTTAAGTCTCCTCTTACTCATATGGGCTTTGTTTAGTGTGGTTTGTTTCTTCATATATTCAGTCCTCCTAAGACAATTAAGATAACTTATGCATGCTTGTGTCTTCTGTATTGGCATCGTTGACTAAATTTTCTGAATAGCCCTTTGTAGCAGTCAGACTGCTTGCACTGCTGGCGTGATTTTCAGCTTTACACTGAAGACAAGCCAACAAGCAATAACTTTTTCCCTGCTTCCGAAGCTGCTTTTTTTTTTTAAAAAAAAAAAAAAAGGAAGGAAAGCAAAATAATTAGCTTGGCTTCCCTACATGTATGCTACATAATGGATGCAACTTACTTGAAAGTGCAGTTAACATTGCAATCCCCATTGCAGATTACTGGAAGAGGAGTCAGCAAAGAGAGCTGAACTGGAAAAATGGCACTTGCAGCAGCAACAGACCATTCAGATGACAGAAGCAGAGAAGCAAGAGCTGGAAAACCAGAGAATGATAAAGGAACGGGCTCTTCAAGTTGCTATGAAGCAACTGGAGCAACTTGAACAGGAGAGGAAGGAGGCCCTTGAGCAATATGAGGTGAGCTGTTGTGTTCATCAGCCTCTCATACTTAGCCAGGTTTTCAGGAGTTTAACTGAATTTGAAGTTCGTCAATATCGTGCTTCTTTAAGCATTAGTATGGCACAAAAATTATAATAACAGGTAGGACAGTTATGTGTTGGGGTTTTTTTGGCCTAGACCAGTAGATATATTTGAAGAAGACGTCATGTTTCAGACATATCACCTCTTTTATTCTTTTGTCCCAATTTGCATGCAAGTCCCAATTTGTTCTTTTGTCCCAATTTGCTCAGTCATATCCTGAAATACTCTGGATACATTTGTCTTCTACCATAGATTAACTTCTTATGCAGTCCTATTGCTGTCATAACTAAATGCATTATGCTTCTGAATTGGCTATTCTTGCAATGTTTTGATGATCTCATGGGGCAATATGGTCTTCTACAGATGAAAAATTGATGTGCTACTGTAGGCCCTTGCTCCTTAAAAGGGTATTTAAGCACTGAACTGCTGTCAAGGATAGCTAGGAATTAGCTCAGATTCTCAATGTGTAGCAGTGCCTCACATCCCAAATGCCAGGCCTGTTCTCTGCTCCGCTGAGTGTTTTTGGTGAAGGCCAGTGTATTCACGGAAGAAAAAAGAGTCAGAATCCAGTGAGTACAGAGTCTGAAGTGCTGCATACTTTCTAGGGCTAGGGAGGTGTTGATCCTGGGTGTATTTAGGTCAGGAAACAAAACATGACTGGATTTCTGTTTAACTAGGGAGTGTGTTTATGCTGTCTCTGTGCCATTGCGGTTAGCTCTGTGAGGGACAAGCGAGTCAGCCGTCTCAACTGGCACAGAATGCAAATGCCGCGGTGACTGCAAGCAAGGGCCCAGGTGGGGTAGTTCTGGCCACTTTGCAACTTACCATGTTGGTGTTATATCTAACACCATCATTAGATTGCTTTTGGCTAATACTTGGCTTTTTTTTAGATGATGTCTGAGGCTTTTCATATATGAAACATCATTTACTATTCCAAAGGAACTGCTGAATACAACAGACAAAAAAAAAACCCAAACAAAAAACCAAAGAAATAAAAAAATCCCCCAAACAAATGATGGAATAAGTCACTGTGATAGTTGACTCATTATTTTAGAAATAATTAAACATTCTGGCCCTCTGTTTGGAATTGGCCAAAAGACCAGTTTAGATGGAAGAATTCCTCTTTCTTGCTTGGGTGTAGCAGCAGCAGGCATTTTCCTAGCTTACATTTTATGATTTCTGACAGTGAGAGATAGATACTCACTAGCTGGTCTTCATTTGGAACAGAAAAGGCATCTTTCTGGTTTGAAACTGCAGTTTATGCTTTCAGTCTTCCTGAAGGCTAGCCCTAGTTACACAGCTACAGAATCTTTTAAAACCTAGTTATTTTTGGGTTCTGGTTTGACAACTTACTTTTATACGGCTAGCAATGACTAAATTACTTAGGATGGTTAGAAACAAAGCTCTCCTGTCTACACTAAGTGGAGTGCCGGCTAAATTAGCATGGTTCTGTCCTTAGATTTAAAAGGATGTTTTTTCTTTATATAAAAAGAGAGTAAAGTTGTTCTTGTTTTCAAGTGGGCTGTATCTTATTTCAGGAGGTTAAGAAGAAGTTGGAAATGGCAGCTAATAACACCAAGAGTTGGAAAGATAAAGTAGCTCATCATGAGGGGTTAATTCGACTAATAGAGCCAGGTAAGTTATCAACACAAAAGTTGCAAAAAATATGTATTTATTCTGTCTCATATACTTAGACCACTCAGTGATTTACTGAAGTCTGCCTTTTCCTGTAGCTTTTTGGTTTCACAGCAGCCTATAAATACCACATTTGTGAGAACTGCTGATGGTAACTTTCAAGTCTTTACTTCTACTGGCCCTGCTATAACAATTAATTTTCTAATTACTATCATTTATTTATTTAAAACAAAGCAAGGATCAACCTGAACATTGCATTTGGATGTTTAATGTAGTTAGCATAAATGCTAATTGCCAAAAACATGAAGTAAAGATAGATAAAATATTTGGTTTTGGGGAAAAGGTTAATTTCTTAGCTTAATTAATAGCATGCCAGCCTGGAGGGAAGTGGTTTTGTAATGCAGTGCTGGAGAGATGGCTTTCCTTCAAGGACATCTCTAAAGGCAAGAGGAAGAAGGGTTTACTAAGGTACAGTGATTTGGTGGAGGATGGGAAGTTGGGAGATGAGGTTTCAAAGGATTGCAGCAGTTGACAACTTCTCACACTGAGCACCTTCACTGATGGCGTCCCAGGCATTCCCCCCTCCTTGGTTAGACAGGTCCCCAGGTCACCTTTGCAAGGGCATCCAGTCATGAAGAGGCAGCACTTACCAAATCATCCTGTGGCAACTGGCGACACTTGACCTGTCCCACCGACGGGGGTGAGCAATGTCCGTCAGAAATGCCTGTTTCAAGTATTGCATTCTGTCTTCCAGGCTCCAAGAATCCTCACCTAATCACAAACTGGGGCCCGGCCGCCTTCACTGAAGCTGAACTCGAGCAAAGACAAAAGAGCTGGAAAGGGAAAAAAGCCACTTCTGAGTAACGGCAGTTGCCAACGTATCGTTTGTGAATAGAAGCCCACCCTCCTTCATTCTGCTTTGCACAGAGAGCAGCTTCTCGCTTATAAAGATCTTAGTTTGCTCAGTAGGTTGGGCCTTTCTACAAAGGAAATACTGTTTACCACATAGGAGTGTGCACTCAGAGCTCAGTAATTACAATATGTGGTGTCTGACAGTACTTGGTGTTTTCCCTCACATTTCCAGAAATTATATTCTTTTTTACAAAACTTTTCAACTGAACAATTTTGTTTAAATGTAGCTTGTGACAGAGTTGTTTCTATACTAGCCTGTAACAATCTGACAGCATCTAACTGATCAAGCAGCATCACTTTCATTCCAAAAAGTGAGGGAAGCAATTGTTTCATTAGTTCAGTTAGTATAATTTAAACCCAGGATAAATCAGTCCTGGAGGTTCTTTCCGACTCTGAGATAGAGCATTACCTTTCCTTCCCTTGAGTCTCCTTTTATTTTTGCTCTGTCCATCTGTTGCTCTTCGCATGGTGCTTAGCGCTCAGAGACATTCTTCCTTAGTGAGGGTAGGCTGGCATTACTGGGTACCTGCTGGCTGGTTGGATTCTGTGTCCTGTTTTCCCCTTTTGCAGGAATCCAAACAAAAGAACTGGAAATAGGCATTTACAAAATGCTGACGTAAAACATTTGGAAAAAGTAGTCATGCAAGATTGTTCTTGTACTGTCTCGTACTTGAGAAGTGCTAAAAACACACCCTTGAGAGTTCCCTTCAGAGTTTAAGACGCACAGTTTTGACTTAGAGATTTGTGGAGCAGCTGAATGGAAGATGATAGCACATACAGACCAAACATCATCTGCATCTAGGCTGTGTTTGTGCAAGAAATCCAATTATAACATACCACTGGTTTAGATGCAGTACTTTTGTCTTAGTTTTCCTTTTGCATTTTTTTTTTAATCTGGCCTCCAATAAATTTGACATTTTTATTTTAGATAAAAATGATAAATGTTTAGCGATACTGCTTTAGAAAAAAATGATTCCCATCAGTAAAATAATTGCAGCATTTTTAGTGACAAGGCTTCCCAGAGAGCCTACTGCTCTGCCTCAAAAGTCTCTCCAGGGACAAAGCCAGTGATTTCTGGTTCTGTAGGGAAAAGGAACAAGGCTGTGATTTTGCTTTGTAGGTCTCCCACGCCGGACAAGAAGTCAGTCTATTCCTAAGTGAAATAGTATTCTCGCTAAATTGTACAGACATTTTAAGAACCAAGTCCCCGCTTCTGAAGAACAGGTGTCCATTGGTGTGGCTTGTTAGTCAGCTTTCACCTTGGTATGTACACCGACCGTGGGCATCCAGCTCTTGGCACCTGCTTTTTAGTTCAGCTGAATGTTAAATTATTTTTAGTAAATAAGAAGTGAATGTTTCAGACAGGTAACCATGCATTTGTGTACAGCATTGTGATACTTGGATCTCAGAACAGCAGAAGCTGTACAGAAGTGATCTTCAGATTTGGAAGTCAATACCATTTTATTTGCCTATTAACAAAGACTCACTCAAATACTGAAGATTCTCAGACATTTATTCTCTGGTTATATTTTTATACTAATTGAAATCTTTAATGTTTCAGTAACTGGAGTGGTTAGAATGGCAGGAAAATCCAGGATCTTCCTATTTGTATTTACTGTACAGGAAAGCAATAGTTCCTTAAGCTTGCTAACGAGGCATTTTTTAAATTTATCATGTTTACAGAAGAAATGTGAAAAAAAACTGTAATAGAAATACTAATGTATACATTGTTAAACTTTGCTAAAGGAGATGGAACAGTATTTATAACTACCAAACATCTTTTATGTGGAGAGCAGAAGGTGTATTGGGGCTAAACTTGTTTAATTTTTCTAACAGTCTTTATTTTGGACAAATGTTTTTTAAGAACACCAAATGATGCATGTTTTCATATTTTTTACTGTTCTTTAGAATTGGCTGTTTAATAAAGTAATATAAAGTCATTTACATTTCTGAATTAATTGATGTCTTTTTCTATGGGTTTCTTTTGCGTTACTGGAGTTCAAAATCCAGTAACCGTTGTGTAGAAGTATTACTTTGATGGAAGAATGACATTCTTAATGGCCTGATCAATGGGATTTGGATTAAAGCCATAACAAAGGCAGCAGTGGTCACACAGATAATACAATCTAATTTGTCTTAACAGCACTACTGCTTCTCTTAAATGTTCATGTTCGGTACACCTTGATCCAGTATAATGATGCTCAGCTATTACAGACAGCATTGCTCAATAACAGTATTTTGAGGGTGCAGTTTAGCTGTTTTCTGAAACACAAGGCATGCCAGTTGGGAAGTGAATTGATGGAACAGTTGCATCGACAGTAACAGATCAACGCTGAGAGCACTCACCTGGGACAAGGGCAGACCTGATCTTGGTAACACATCAACGCTGAGAGCGCTCACCTGGGACAAGGGCAGACCTGATCTTGTCAGCAAGCTAATGGGAGAACACGGCTGCACATACAGACATGTGCCTCTGCAGGCAGAACAGCCCTTCATTAAAACGTCATCTGCATACATCTGTCTCGAGTTATTTCTTAGTTACCACCAGAAGAGGAAATGAGACAAGTCTCCTTTTAGCTTTGTTGTCCCTGCCTGCTCTGACAAATTAAGCAAGCATTGCGTGAAGGGTTGCACAGTAAAAGAAGTGGGGGAAGAAGTTGGTTTAAAAATTAACCAATTGCCTTTTGAGCAAAAATACCACCTCAGAGTAAGTCTGTTAAAGCGACACTAAACGCAGCATTCAAAGAGAGAGTAGCGCTGTGAGTCAGAGTCACCGCACCTCATGAAACAGTGCAGCATGGAAAACTGCACCCCTGCTGCAGTATCATTTCCATCGAGCCCAAGGGTTACAGCACGCTTATGCCAAGAAACCAACAAGACTGCTAAGGGTGAGGATCTCCTCAATGAAATGTGGTGCTATGGAGGGCTCTGTTCCACCCCAAGAAGTGCCTTGCAACATGGTAGTGCTGTACCTACACGCCAGGCCTGCTTACCTGTGCAGAGGCCAGTGGAAAGCTTTGTCTGCTGTCCTTGACCCCTCAGTAGCTGCCCTGGAGTCCACTTTGATTTGTCTGCCCGATTCACGTTTCCCTGCTGCTGATGGTGGGGGAATGGTCCTGCAAACCAATAGCACAGGACCGTGCTTGTTCTGCTTCGGACAGGATTTTTTTTTTTTTTTTCTTTTTTTCTTTTTTTTTTTTTCCCCATGACCATTTTATGGAGCGGATTTATGAGACTGTTACATCCTTGTTCACATATTCCCAAACAGTAACAGGCTGGTTTCCAGAAACTTCCATTCACTGCTTCTGTTGTTTAACTCTCCTACATGACCAGCCACAAAAGCAAAGCCTATATGGAAAAACAACAGTATGTTAGGACAAGGTCTCTATTCTGAGGTGGGGGGACAGGACAGGACCCAACCCCAAAAGAAGCAACTGTTCAGGCAGGCAGGCCTTCTGGAACAGTAGCCGCACCATCCAGTTCAGTAAGCGTGAACTGAAAATAACTGCTCTGATTTTTATCTCAAATATGTGAAGCAGTTAAGAAACAATTTTTCAACAAACCTGTGCATGGCCAGGAAAGGGGATATCCATGAGGTCTTTTAGCTGCTTGAGAAAAGAGGTAATTATTCATTCTTAAAGGCACTGAACAGGGGAATTACAATGTGCCATAACGTTGTTGTCTCTCATAGAATGAGAATCTGCCGCAACACTAGCAAGATTTTAGTTCCCCCACTCATCAGTTAGGGACTCTCCAATTGTCCCTGCGCGATGTTGGTCGTTTGATAGTTGTGGCTCTCTTTGGTTTGGGTTTGTTTGTTTGTTTTGGTGGTTTTTTTTAAAATCTTTTTGCATGACGGTGGGA